CTTAATACGCTCAAATTAACTTTTCCCTGTGAACAGTCCAACCAAAAAATATGCTCACCCACTCTATTTTAATGTCCTATGAGTGTTAACACAAGTTTGTTGCAATTAAATTCTCTACTCCAAGAAGAAAAGAACATTATAAACTACATTGAACCCACCTGTTTACTCTGAAATCACTGTTGAGAAATTTTTGTGTTGGTTGGAGAATAAATTTGTTTCTGTTGTCCTTCTCTCAATCTGGATTTTGTGTCTTGATAAATTGCATGATTTGTATAACACAGCATGCCACTTCCATTGATTTCTTTATAGCAAGGCTGCTTTATTTGAAAACAGAAAATGTGCACATACTCAGATGTATGAGATACGTAATGCGGAAGCTGTCTTCCCCTGTGTGAAGAAAAAGCAACCTGGAGGCAGGAGCACAATGAACACACCTGAATCGTCTCAGTTCCTTCTGTTCTCTTAGCCAGCTGCAGTCTCTGCATGAATAGCTTGATTATAAGTGACTGCTCTGAACTGGAATTCTCTCACCCAGCTTGAATAACTCTTCAGTTTTTGACTTCTGCTATGGATGTCACTCCTTTGCACTAAGATGCCTGATTTTCACTAAGGAACAGTATGCAATTTTTTCTGTCCTAACAGGTTGATACTTCACATTCAAGATCTGCTTCCTCACAATTATTTGTGAATAATGAAAATAAAAACATGCATCTCTCCTCTCTCTTTCTGTCAATCCTTCCTTGCTGTTGGAATTGCTGCTGATCAAAAAAGTGTTCATCAGCCTCTCTCCTCTGAAAATTTCAGGTTTTATGCTGCGAGGGGAATGAGGATAACAAAAAACTATTGTTACTTGAAAAATTATAATTGACTAAGTTTCAAAGGATAACCCTGAAAACGTATTTCACCCCGTCAAGGAAATACTTATCACAAGATCTTAATCGAAGTTTAATTTTGTGCCAAGTGTGTCTAATCAAACGTTTTCTATCTAGTCTTATTTAGATTCTCTCTGTTAAGTAGCACTAAGGCTTAAAAGTCTCAGGCTGTGGCCAACATGAACATGGGGTCTCAGTCCCCCTCTTGCTAAAGCATCCCCAACTGCTTAGGTGAAAGAGAAAGGGAAGAGAAGAAAAACTCAGAGAAAAATAGTTTGGATCTTTTTTTTTTGGGGGGGGTTGGGGGCGGAGGGGATGGGGTACCTTTACATAAGGAGTAATGTTAGCAACTTTCCCTCTCACTTCCCTATTGTTTAGAAAAGTCCCTGTCCTCAAAAAAGCTGTTTCATTTTTATCTTATTCAGTTTATGTTGGGAGGCTCTCGGTTTTTCCCAAACTTTCTTTTAAGCACCATATAACAAACTCTGTTATAGCTATTGAAGACTAATGAGTTCTACTGATGTCTGGAAGAGAAATGGTGAGAAAAGATAAGAGGAGGACAAGCCAAGAAAATGTGCAGTGGGGGCTGGTGGGAGGAATAACCTTTAAAGATTATCTGAGAAAATGAAGAGGAACCAAAATTCAGTATCAGTACTAGAACCTCAGCATTAACAATAACAACTTTCCATAATAAGCATCGCCAGGGCTAAGGCATCCTTTGCCTTCAGATTTTGACTTCAGGCCCCAATCCAGCAAAGTACTTAAGCCTGAGGAGTATTATTGAACTCAACCTATGTCAATGGGATCGGCTCACATGCTTAAATTTAAGCATGTACTTAAGTGCTTTGCTGGATCAGAGCCTTGCTTGTTCTAGTCTATGGTTACCTTGTAAGTGGGAAATTAGCTATCAAGCACAATTATCTTTCAAATGTGTAAGGGATATTCATTGCTAATCATGCAGCAGGTTTTGTGATAACTGGATGAAGCAGCTATCTGGACTACATCAGACTCCACATTTTTTCCATGTAGACAAACAGTCTGAGTTGAACACCAGCCATTCAGATCTCAGTATCCAAGAGCTGCCAGTCTACATTGTACTTGTTCAAAATTAATTCCTTAGAACTTCCTTCCAGTGGTTGTCACACTAATAGTTTACACTTTCATTGGGCATTATCATATACATGTAGCACCACAGTCCAGAGAACTTTTTCTTACCTGTAATCCATGATTCTCTTAAAGCTGAACAGGCTTCATGTTTCTAGAAGTTCCTTTATAGAGAACAGAAATCTTATTGATTGCTTTTCCTATATCTGTCTCCGCTTCCTCTTTCATCTTAGATGTTTTCAGTGAAGATCAAAAATAGCGCAGTTACCTTGTTGTAAATATAGATGGACCCTGAGCCCCAGTAAACTGCTGTACAATTATCTGCTTCCTCCAATAATGCAGATCTAGTAAGAGAGGAACAACCATTCCAGCAGAGGTCCCCAGTATTGCCCCAGTGGCAAGCTTTTTGCTGCCTTCCTTGAGGAGGAGGAAAGAAAGCATATTAGTCTATCTGCATGGAAATTGTTTGCATGACTTGTGAGCAGACCACCTTGAGTGTCCTCAGATTTCAAGTCTTCAAGAAGGGAATTTTGGAACCTGCTTCAGAAATTTCTGAAGGTCAGAAAAAACATAAAATCCCTGAGAACAATGGCAAAAGATAAAATGGGCAAATGGGCAGAAAAACACTGGAGAACAAACTCAGCATCAGGATCAAACACTTATTAGCTTATCATAAATTGATAATGAAGTATTTTAGACTTATCTGATTTTTAATCCTAAGAGTCACCTCCTTATAAGAGGCTGGTTTCTCTACACTAGACCTAGTCCTTCAATGGTGTCAAGTTCACAGTTTGTTTACATCAACACAGATCCCAGTGATGTTTCTTTGGTGAAAGGTGGCTAAAATTCCACAGCAGCTACTCTGAGTCTGACCCTGCTTTATCAAAGTCAATATACAGCTAAAGCATACAGCTATTGCGTACCAAGCTCCTTACAACCAGACATACATCCTTTGACATGAAACCTTGGTTTTCAGCCCTGTTTTTAAGGCAAGAGGGTTTATAACAACTTATTTATAGTCAATAGTTGTGAAGTGCTGAGGTTATTTGTATATGTGCTACTCAAATTAAATTGATTAAAAATGTTATCAGTGTGTCTACTCATATACACCCCTCCTTTATATATATAAAATTGTTTATAAATAGAGCATTTTTTTAAAATCATAACTTCTTTGAAATGTACTTAACATTTTTAAAATATGCCATGGTCATATGATAAATAATGGCTGAATTGAATTCTTAAAGTGGTAGAACAGCAGTAGTAAATAGATCAAAGACTTCCCAATACTAATATCCATGAGTAATAAACAACAGTATTTCCTACCCTGCAATGTATGTCACGGTTCTGATGCACAAGGCTTGCCATTTTTTTGCCTGCACGCAGGCACGCACAGGCTCACAGAGCAGATGTGAAAGTCTCAAGTCTCTAATGTAATTCATGCTCCAGTTCAGCAACTGTGAGGGTATGCTGGAGACAACGCTGTGACTAACACGGCCAACAAATTCCTGAGAGAATAAGAATGACTGTTAACAGTTCTGAGAAACTCTTCCTCTGGGTTATTATCCCATACAGAGAGATAGTGAGTTTTAGCGGTCTTAACCAAACAAACAGTTCTGAGAAACTAGGCATATTCCCTCTGAGATTACAGCAAATGAAAAACAAAAAACCATCTAATGTTAAAAGTTGTTTGAAACATTCATGATACTGTCAGTGAAGTATGTGCATCAGGTCAGAGTTTCCATACTCCCAAAGGAAACTAGACATTGGCTGAAAAGAAGAGAAAGTTCCATTTACCCTACTGTTATCTTTTCACAGCTGGCTTGATTGAACAGGGGTGAGGCATGGGCACATGTAGCGACTACTACAGCCACCAGAAAACAATGTAGTAGCAACTTAAATGGGTGCCTGTTGAAATGATTTACATCTGGGACACTCTGCTTACACACACCGAAGAAACAGAGAGGGAAGTTGCTTGAAAACTGTTTTCTCATAGCTTTCTCCATCTCCTTGAGTGCTAGCTGGTAAATGAAAGATGTGATCCAGTCCCAGGGCACTGAAAGCCAGGAAAAAAGTAAAAAACTACCTGATGAATGGCCTAAAATAATTTTAAGATCTCAGAAGTGTCAACCTTCTTTTTTCTAACACCACCTCCTTACATTGCCTCAAGCAATTCTGCCATCCTAACACAGGTTAATAACACTTTCTCATACGCACGAAGAATGCACAGTAACTATTTCCTCAACTGCCTCTCATGTCTTTTAAGCTGTATCTGACCAAATCAAGTTAACAAGGTGGATGGGAAGAAGAAATACAGTTTTGTGACTAAGAAGCAAGGCTGCAACTCAACTGGTGGTACTCCCACAGATTTCCCAGCTCAATCTTCTGTGCTCTTTTTGGCTCTGAAAAAATAACACCAGTAAAAATATTCCCAATATCTAACCGTTAAGTTTTCTGTATTATGTTTCTTAGTGTGCTGAGACAGTGATTAGGACTATCAAGCATTGGTTGCAGGTTGAAGTTCATTACTGGTTCTTTACTGTGGGTCACATAGCATCAGAGCATCACTTCAGAGAACACTTGATAGCATCACTCATCTATCTGCATTGTCATACAGCCCAGATGGCTGCAGTACGTAGGCAACTGGGAACCAGAGCAGCAGGAGGAGTACATCCTCCTGCAGTTTTCTCTCTGGTGATAATCCTGATGCATTTAGACCAGCCTGTTGGTTAGGAAGTCAACAGTAAATGCACACAAAGACCTAGCAAACAAAATAAATGGAGCAGCTGCACTCTAAGTAGTTTGCCAACTATCAAATGATCAAATTTGCCCATAAAAACTCAGAAAAGATTCCTGCAACTCAGCTGAGTGACAATTCCCTACTGTGCAGAGTTATCTTTTGAGTTTCACAAGGGTGGCATTCTGTTGCAAACGGATCTGTTATTAAAAATCAACTCAGAAATCTGTGTACTTTAGCACATTAACTATTACTATGATGTACAAACCTGGAGACAAACAGGAAACTACTTCTTCCATTTGGCAAATGCAATTTTATTTCTGGTTTAGTTGTAAGAATTAAAATGTTAAACATTCTAACATGTACTCTGCCAGACACATTAATTGGCATATTGGAACAATACTGCAAATGAAGAAAGTCAATGTAATAATCATCTCCGTTAAGTACAGAGTTCTCAAGAATGTAATTGTTATTTTCCTGTGTTACAGAAAGAAAGGTTTCCAAATCTTGAAAAGGCAAGATTTCAGTGGGAATTTGATATGCCCAATCCAGGTAAGAAAAATCTAAACACAACATAATAAACAGAACACAAACTGGCAGTTACAAGAAAGGAAAGAAGAAAATGACATTTCAAAGGGGATATCCTTGATAACATAAAAAAAATACTGAGGCTACAACCGTAATCATACTTATGCCAGGTTAGTATAGATTTGATGGTCTTGAGTAATTTATTGAAACAGAAGACATATAGTCACCATGAGTGAAATGTTACACATACTGATTTCTTGCACGGTTTAGTCACATATATAGCCTCACTGAGAACAAACTACATAACTTCAGGCTGTGAATCACACCACTATGTGAGGGAGTAATTTTTCCCACCAATACAAATACTCAGTAGTATAACTGTGACTACACATAATGACATCTGGACTACTTGCTAGCTATTTACTTTGATGGCAGAGAAGATTCTTTATACTGTATAAGCATCACCAAAATTATTTGTTATTATGCTCACACTCCTGGTATTACTGGCTCTTCATTCAGCAGGGTTTTCATACTCAAAACAACTCGCAACTGAGCAACAGAAATAGACATTAAGAGAGCCAGAAGAATATGAGTGAGAACAGAAGTTACCTACATACAGTCCCATCTCTCCAGGGAAAATCATTATATACAAAGTAAAAATATAATCTTTTTCACACTTAAACTGGCCTGTGAACGTGTAATCACAAGTGTTGCCTGTGGGAACAGTCATCTGTGTTCTATCTTCGTTTGCCATTTTGTTGTCTATTTCCAGGAAAGTTGGAAGACTACTTTCAAAATTTCACCCCCAAATAGCAACAAATAGATGGAGAGCTCACAGAGCAAACTATGCTTATTGGCAGTCCCCAATGATTTTGCAAAAAATTCTTGCTGTATGTCCGTAGAATGATTTGAAATTATTCCAGTTACCTGAGGAATCTGAAGCCTCTATTTCAATTTATAGGTCTGATTGATTGCTTACGTTTCTTTCAAGTAAAGATGCATTTCATGTGGTGATTGATTTCCGATTAGTTTACAGAACAACAGGTTTCTGCAGGGGGAATACTTCATTTCTCCAGTGTAGCCTTCTTTAAAAAAATGTCCTGTAGACAAAAAGAAAAAGAGATAGTGAAACAGATTAGTTTAACTGTAGTGCAATTTTTAGTCTTTCTGGTAAGCACAATTTTATATAACTGGATCTCAGTTGAGTCATTTTGATTTTATTGCAGGTAATAATTGAGAAGACCACAAATATGCCCATGCAACAAGAAATCTTACCTTGGTTCTTCTAGAGATCTATGACTGTACTTAGAGCAATTACAGCATAGAGAAACCATACACAGTAAACTAAATTTATGACACAAGGATAATTTCAGGACAAACCCGTTGTTAAGTGACAAATTAACACAAGCAAACTTGAGTGAAAACCAGTCATGAATACTTTTTTACAGGCACATTGTCATATAGTACAAATGGAAACTTGTTCTTTGGACAAGCCTTAACAAGGAAGTAATTTTTAGTTACTTATATACGTATGAATTCACAAAGCCACAGCAGTGGTCCACAGATAAGGAAAAAAAAATCAGATTAATCCTACTTTTTTAGACAGGGCCTATTTATTTTAGAGTCTAGCAGATGATAAATCAATTCTGTAGAAGACCTCTAAGGGACATTATGAAGTAGAAACTAATACTTATATTTTAATAAGTCAGGCATGGCAAAAGCCCAAAGAACACTCCAGCATGCCAGGAACGAAAGCAAGCATGGCATGCAATGCACAGGCAGGCACATGCTGAAAAAATAACGCAGCCTCACGATGGACAGTCATGTTAACCCAGGTCTGGCTATTCACCATGAGGGAATACTGCAGTGGCTACAGCTGCAGGAGATACCCTTGTCTGTACACAGGTGCACTGCCTTCAAAAACCTTTCTGTGTGTGTTGGGACTGACTGTTGATGAGGGAATAGTAGGGCTAAATATACAGGATATGAAAACAGAAATAACAGTGACAGTTACTTCCTTGCTTGTTAGATTATGCACAGGTATTAAACACAATTTTACAGCAATCTTCAATTGGACTTAGCCAGTAATACTACACTGATTTACAGCAACTAATACTCCAGTATTCTACATAGAGCAAGGGTCTGGGTTAATAGTAACTACTAAACTTTCTTCTGACATTTTACTTGGTAGGAAAGGCATCTTCAAAACTTTTCCTTTAGTCAGCTAGAAAACATTCGTCTTTCTTTTGAAAGTATGTGTCCAAAGTAAAGCCAAGTTGTATTGACTTGATATCTCTATCACACTTTAAGCCTTCGATTCTTCTGTTTCACAGCTATGATGATTATCTTTAGAAAAAGGGCCCTGTGAACATCACAAATTGCCAAGACATCCAAACCACTTAGCTCTTTTGAAAATTTTACACTTAGGTTGGCTTAGACAAGGATAGTAACTGAAATCTAACTTAAAAAACCTCCATAAAACAGAATTAACTGTCTTGTTGTGATGAAGAATGCTCATGGGCATTTGTTTCCCCCAATCATGATTCATGGGACCACAGTAGGTGATCCAGACTAAAGTAAGTAATTTATAAAAAAAAACCAACCTCCCCTCAAATCCTCAAACCAAAAGCATGAGTATGTAGTCAAGTATGACCAATTCTAAGAATCACCATTTTGAAAAGTCTGCGAACCACTGCTGTAATAGACGATACCTACTTATAACTATCAAATTAGCAACCATGTGATGCAGAAGATTATGTAATCCATGAGGAATAAATACTTGAAATACGCCTGATAAAAAAAGCAAACTGTATGGACTGTCATTACTGGCCTTTTAATCCCCGGAGAGAGAAAGCTTATGCACTTACACTTCATCATCATATTCCTTTGGAGGTGATGCCGCAATAACTAGGTCAATCCAATCCTGCAAAAGAAATGCACAGGCGAACACGTGATGCTAAATACTGCTTTTAGAGATGGCTAGTGGACCACCATGGAATATCAGATAGAGAATCAGGAAGGCAGTCTATTCCTGGCAAACCACAGGTAGCAGCAGAAAGATCTCTATTAAAAACTTCTACAGAAAGATCATTTCAAGATTGAGCTGTTTGATTTGTACCCTGAAATTAAAGAAAAATCCACTGGTCTTGCAACAAGCTTTTAAAAATAATTATTCCGAGAATCATCGTGTCTTTGGTCATCTTAGCAATTAATACAGCTGTTGCGGAGAAAACACTCACTGTAGCTGAAATGCAGTGTTACTTGTATATTAAGAAATCAAAGCTAAGATAAGCTATTATCATAAAATTCCAATCAGCTTGCAAGTAATTTTCAATATCAAAGACAGATTCTACAGATAAACGTACTATAAGCACTCAGAATGTAATGTGTTTAAATACCAATCTTAACATGTGGCTCAATTGCACGAACTTTCACAGTAAATTAAATGTAGATTTTCAGAGATGCTGTATACCGACATCTGCAGATTTCAGCTCACTTCGGTAGTACATGACATACCTGTTACTTTTGATGTTTGCAACCTTATTTGTGTTGATGTGACAACGTCATGAAAGAAAAGTGTATCTCAAATGAACGTCATAGGTGAAATTAAGTACTCCAGGTTACTTACCCCACCCATATTCCAAGCTTTTGCTAGCATTGCCTGTGCTTCTGCCAGCTTGCTGTCAATTAGTATCTTGCCATTTACAGCTAATATTTCATCCCCCTTCACTATGCCTCCTGGTGAAAAGACAGATATGGTATGCACACACATAAGCAAAAATTCTGTGAGTCTTTTCTGTCTCATATTTATGAAGTACTGAACATAATGAGAAGCGCCTTCACTAGGTGTGAAGGCTTACACTAAAAATTGACATAGACAAAAAAAAGGAATTTTTAGGCATTGCTCATGACCAGGAAGAAACTAGTTTAAATAAGATTTTCATAGTAGCAGTTTGTATGCCTGGGTAATCCATCTATACAGCTTACAAACTGGGGTTGATGGTAGGCTGTTAATACTATGAAAATGGCAACATTACTTAAAGACTTGAAGGTATAAGTGGCATTTGTCAAGGGTTTGCAGGACTTATTCCTTTGCAGAAGTATGTGTAATGTTTAGTCCTTTGACTTGTTGATCCAGAATGAAGCACAATCAGCTAACTGGGACTGGACTTGATGAGGGGAAAACACAGATGGTAAGGGGACAGCCTCAGTTACAAGAGATGCTCACAACAGTGAAGATTTAAAGAGAAACAGAGTACTTGAGAGAACAAGCAGCTGAGATGTTTTCACAGCAAGAGTGTCTTGAACTTAGGTGCAGACTGGGACAAGGTCAGTAAAGACAGTAAAGACAACATAAGGAGATATTGTCCTACCCGGTCATCACCAGAGTTCTCAAGGAAAGAATGAGAAATACTGGTCACTAGGAGCAAAGCCTGGATTTCTTTGTATGCACATTCTTGTGCCTTCTAGAGAGTTAAGCTCTTAGCCCGAAGGTTCTGGCCTTTAATGGGATTTTGGGAGTAAAGCCAGGTGTTTTACAAAACAAATTACTATTGAAAGTAGCATTAAAAACAAAACTAAGCAGTGTAGTGTAGCCATGGTCAGGTAATTGCTTTGCACATGGAAGTACCACAGATGTCTTTGGTTGGAAATTGTTAAATAATGGAGACCATATTCTGCTTTCCTTAATTAACAGAATATACCAGAGAATCACATGTTGGTTTTGGTTTTTATTTCTTTTTTTTTGGTTTTTTTTTAGCCTGGAAAACAGGGAGTCCTTATGAAGAGAACAGCTCTGAACAGGTCATGTTACTGAAAATTCTGTAATAATAAAAAATGCAGCAGCAGTAACCATTTCTTCTTAAGCACTATTTATAAATTTTACATAATTATTAATTTGAGCAGCACCCTTCAAACCATGAGGCTCTCTGTGATCTGGCCTCAGCTCTTAAGAGCTGAGGCAGAATTTGGCTGCCTTGGACAATCTGAGTGTGCCTCTCAGTACCTGGCATAGCCATGAAGTCAGCCAACAACTCCCAGGCAGCCTAAGGAGCCCCTTTCCAGGAGCATTCAAATTCCCCACTGTTCCTCACCGTGTTTGTCTGCAGCACCACCCTCATAGATCGCAGACACGACTATCTTTCCAATTGGAGAATCAATTCCTCCCTCAACTGCAAGGTCTAATGATCCTTCCTATCAAAAAAAAGAGATTTAGTTCAGAAAAGGCTGCTAATTTTAGGAGCTTAATCTTTCCTTCTTCCCAGTAAATGGGACTGTACATGATATACTTACATGAATCCTTTAACTATCAATCAATCAAATAGGAGAGTATTTACCTTTTTAATTCTTAATAGCCGTACATCTTTTCCCATAATCTGCTCTGGTGTAAACTACAAAAAGATATAATGATTAGTCATTTCCACCTTGGAAACACAAAATAATTAGGCTTCTCTATGTAGTTTATGGGAGAAAAGGGAGTTCTTCCTCCAAAATAGTGACAGAGGAAGATCAGAACACCAGATTATTTTTTCCCTGCAAGAAAACTCCTTTTCAACTCCCTTTTAACATGAGTAAAAAAGACAAATACACAAGCCCCAGCAAACCAACAAGCAAGAATCTTACCCCCTCCCAGCCCTCACAATCAAGGATGTGTTTTTTTCCAGTATATTCAATATTAAACAATGAGACACATTTGAATTCTCTCATTACCATTGAATATGGATCAAAATCTTCCAAATATTTCTGGAAGCCCTGAGAAGAAAAAAATGCTTAATTATAACAACATCAGGCTCATCCACACACTTAACACACAAACACCATTTTATTTATTAGCGAGAGAACATGTAATTCTGTAAGTTATGAAAGAAGAGAGTAAATGGAGAAAAGCACAGAAAGGCAACAAATAGTCCATCCTGACAGTCAGAAGACATTTCAAAACCTTATGAGACATCAGCAGATTGAGCTGGTCATACTATTGAGCAGTTTCAAGGAATTGTTTTCCAGTTTGTCAGCTCCACAGTTCCTTTCTACACCTGACAGAACAAATCTGGAAAGCATCATGGACAGGTATGTTCTGCCACACTCTTCTGAGCACCACTTCTTGGGACTATCGCCATGTTGGGCACAAAGAGAGGCAGAAGTGACAGGCTCCAATTCACCTGTCAGAAACACTACTCCACAGTGTCTGGGCTGTAGGACCCTCTTCCAGCCCCCTTCTATCCTCCTTTCCATGGAGTTTCAGGGAGTTGGCTCCATAACCACCACAAGCAAACACAGGACAACAACCATTTTTGTTTTCACATGGTTCTGTGGAGAGCTAAAAAGTTTTGTCAGGAAGTGTCCAAAATGGGGAAGATAACATTGCAGTTAGGTAGAGCAAGATTTAAGATTTGAGAGGGCCCACACCTTCTTAAACTCTCAAAACCTAGTACATTACTCTTGTTAAATCAACACTGCAGTGAAAAAGCAGGAGTCACCTTTTCTGCAAAGATGAGAGTTCCTGAGTCTGCAATCGGGAATAAATGGTGTTTAGGGGGTGGTTTCTAGAGGAGTATTAGTAGTTAACTAGGTGAGACTGTATGGGCGATACTGGAGATTTCTAAAAACTCTGCACTTACCCTACATATTAAAGGCAGGACTTCAGGACTTCGAAATCTTTCCTGAGGCACCTAAATGCTGTATCACTCTTGTGGCTTCAAGCTGCAATAACCCGGGGATATGGGAACAATGCAGAACCACAAAACCTTTCGCTGACACAGCAGACAAGCCACTATCTGACACAGACCCGTGGTTCAGTGCGTGATCAAGCTTGATATATTCATTATTGCCCTCTTTTCTATAGGATCCATCTGATGACAAAGTCTATTCCACCCACAGACTCAGCTAAGACTTTTCCCACTTGTAAATCAAATACACAGCTTAAGATCCCTCTGGTATCTTTAAGGACTGGCTGTTAAATGACAAAGTTGCAGCAGCAAACACAAATGCCTGTTAACTACCAACTTTGAGGAACTAAATAAATGGGAATGTGATCACAGACCTCGGTAAGGGTAGAATTTCATCCTGGGGAAAAAAATCCCCATCATTCATTCATTTAAAAAGTGTATTAATGTTATTAACAGTTCTACTAAAATTGTAAGAGAAACATTTTACAATGATAGCTACCTAAACAACTAATAGTTTGAATAACTGAATTTGTATTGACCTTTGGAATCATGGCTGAAGCAGACATCTATGGTCTTGGAGCAAGCAACTTAGAGGAAAGAACTCCTATCTCAGCCAAGTCACTAATTCATTATGTAATCTAAAGGAAGTCATTGCACTCTTTGTCCCAGGTCACCCTCATGAAAAACAGATGTTGCCCTTGAAGAAAGTTTTCCTGGGAAAATAAGTTTTCAACAGGAAAAAAACCCCTAAACCCCACAACAAAAAACCTGCAAGCAAAGAAGTAGTATAATCTGGATCCAATAATATACAAATACAGCTATGATATAATGAAGATATCCCCTGAACTGTAGTAAATCTTCCCAGAAATGGGCATAACAAATTTGGAGAGCAAAGAGTGCACTCCAAATCCAAGCAGGGACCAAGTGGAAACCACAGTGCTAAGCCCACCTTCCCACTACTCAGGACATCTCAGGCAAAAGAGTGAAGAGCATTCTAATCCTTTCTTGACTTACAATAACATAAGATTGAACATAAGTAGAATTTGTAACATTAAAATAACTGCACTGAAATAACTATCTGTCTGACTTCTAGATTATAGGTAAAGCTATTATTTAAAAAAAGAAAAAAAAACACCAAAACACAAGCACCTAAGCCAATGGTACCGCTCACTGAAGTTTCTAGCATCAATAGTCAATAGGAATTGAGACCTGAGATAAACAAAAAAAAACTGAAAGAGAAACCCATGACCAGATATAACACAATTTTCCAAAAAACATATTTGCTGAGAACATAACTGTTATATATACAGAACATACTAACATTCAATGGCAACTGAACAATCTCCAAATTTTATTTCTATCAGCCAAATACAGTTTTCCCTTATAGATCTAGATTGAAACTGATTAAAAGAAGAAAAAATTATTTATCTTAATGGTTTACCACTCAAATGCTCACAAACTGTGTGCCAACACTTTCATACAACATGGCAATGCATTTAACTTAGCTTGCACTAATAATGGTGTTTTGCACATAAACTGGCATGTTTAGCAGCAGCAGAGAAGTTAAACACAAAGTTTGCTTCTTCAAGTGACTATCTATTGAACCACCAGTCAACTAAAGAGGAAGAGATGAAAACTTCATCACTATGAGAAAGGAAAGCAATGTAAGTAGTAACACAGCAGAAAAATCCTACACATTACAGAAAGACTATATAAGTGCTTTCCACCACTAGTTCCTCTGGTTTCCTACCAATAACTGTGTTATGGTAATAGCTCATTTATTAAAATAAGTAAACATTTTATTACTGAACACATTGCAACTGGGTCTAATTTTTTTTTTTTTTTTACATTCCTAAGGTTTCCTTGTTTCTTTAGTTTGCCAGTATCAGATCAGTTATCAGGGTTCAGCTACCTTAAAGATTGCACTAACCATATAAGTAGTTACAGCTGGTTCAACCTGAAGGATTTACTACCCTCTCATTCTTCGTCTGTCTAGACCAGCAGGAGCCACAGGCACACACTGAAAGTTTACAAAGACTAGCAGTTTTCATGCACTAGGGCTGTCTTCATCCTCTGTTTTAGAAACTGAGTAGTAGGATTAGAAAGGAAAGGTTCATGATCAGTCAAAACAAGAAGTACCACACAAAATGCAAAATGTTATTTTACTTGTTTTTTGTTAGATCTAAATGATGAATTGTAAACCACCATCCTTTTAAACATCTCTTGTGGCTGCAAAAGAAAGAAAATTGCCGAACCAGGTATTAACTTTTTGCTGTAAATAAGTATCACCTCTTCATAAATAATCTCACTGCCTTTTTTTTTTTTTGTGTCTTCTAGGGTGCACTTATTAGTACTTGTTCCCTTTACCATTTCAAAGTGAGAGAACACACAGAGTGAAATAGTACGAAATACAAAGAAAGAATTCTAGAGAAGCTACACAAATAATACACATTTCCATAACACAAGTTTTCTTAAAAACATATTCCATGACTCTTTTTATCCCTAGTTTCTAGAGAACAGTGCTAGAGTCTCTTCTCCATGATTTTTGAAAAAATAAGTGGAGAAAAAAAAAAGGACAAAATGCTAGACAAGTAATTTCCAAAATACTGAAAAGTCATGATAAATGTGTGTTATACATTTAATATTTGCTCTCCTAGCAGGTAATACCCTACAATGAAAGGTGAATTCCATTATTAAATTCCTCATGAAGTTGATAAACTGAAAGAAAAGATATGTGTATTTGGGCTCATCCTGAAAGAATTACCTAAATACCAATAACTAGTACAGGCTTCATTCCTACATAAAGAAAAATTCCTCCTGAATTTAATTGACTTATTTTTGAGTAGTCTTGCTTCCATATGGGTACCTACAAGTAATTTCACAATATTGATTAATGACTGCTGGATTTTATGTTATTGGGTTGGGCTTCAATGATTTTAATCCTGTATTGATTCTGTTTTTCTTTCACTTCCAGTGCTTTAACAAAATGGTAAAAAAAACATAGGTTGAAGTCACTTAAAATGCAGAACCTCATATTATGTTACAAAAAAAAATTCAAAAATAAAATGCATTAAAAAAATAAATATACAAAACAGTCCTCACACTGCTCCAGCCTCCACTCAAAAGCCTGCATCTAATCAGGTAATGTATTTGAGTCTTCTGAAACAAGAACAACTTTCTACAGAATAAAGTATGGTATTTACATTTCCAAACTCAATTTGCTTTAAAACAAATGACTACATTTCAATTTCACTACTGATTCTATCAGTGTTCTATCATCACACCATTACTTGGAAACATATATCTATTAGTGAATTAAAGTTTTGTGGTCTGTGTTTCATTAATACTACAGAGACTGAAGCTTTTTCTTGAAGAACTTTTTGGCAAGTCTGTAAGACTTTCCACAAAATTCTTGAGCCCCCCTCTAGCCACTTAAAAAAATTTTTTTTTTTTTTCCCTTTCAACACAGATGGTTTTGGTGCAGCAATGGCAAATAATAACTGAATTTTCCAGTCATTGCACATCTTACCACACAGTATTCTAAGCATCTGTCTGCAGTGTGCAGACTGCAGTACTGCAGAATCAGGCTTCAAATCTTGCAAATTAGAGGAAAGCTTAAATATTCTTTCTTCCTTTCAGAAATGCTGCATCCAACAACAAAGGACCACTTGAAGAAAAATCTTTAGCAGCAGCAGCAGCAAGTGCATCAAAGTCTTCCAGCTCACACAACAGGATGTTTGCAACAGTTGGGAGAGCAGAGACTAAAGTTCATGTTGTTTTTACTTCTCTCAAAACCCCATCACTAAATCATAACAATCCTCTCCTGTACTCTGAGCCAAAATTTAATTAGCTTTGTCATAAGAGTATTCCAATTCACTCTAGTAAAGCAGAGACAAATAGTTCAGACTGATTTTGACCCAGGGCAGCCCTAGGCATTCAAGGCCACACTCAAGGTTTAATCCTCACCCATCATTTCCCTTTCTATAAGTGAGAACAATTTCATTTTCATGAACTGTTAAAAGACATGGGAATTCTGACCTGAATTCAGTTAATATGAAGACTTAAGTCACAATAGAAACTTCACTG